TCCAAGCTTGCTATGGGAAGTTTAACTATATCAATGGGGTGTTATTTGCCTGTAATCTCAAGGCAAGTAAGATCACAGCAACATTGATTAGTTTTTGCAGCACTGTTCTGAAATCTTAATGCAATCGTGTTATAAATTCATATTTAACTTTTGCCCAAAAGGAGAAAAAGTCATTGCAGACTATTGCAATACCTGCTGATGAAAGGAAACATCCTCAGAGATTAAAAAACCCTACAGGAATGCTCCAAGCTGAATTAGTGAAAATAGTTTCAATAATCTCCAAATCTTGAACCCAGAGCTAATAGAGAGGCATGACCCTATTTCACAAGCACTTGCTGCTTTGTTTCAGATAAATTTGAAATTTCATTTCAGAAAAAAAGGCTTGTCATTAAATACAGTGTAACTTTAAGAGAAAAGCAAATAAAATCAGCAAGTTTTAGTTGTAAATACTGTCATAAATTTTACCCAACATACTGGTGGACCTCAGCCCCTGTCAATATCATAGGAAGACAGACCAGCTTCCTCAGCAAGAAGGCTTCTGGTTTAGAAGAAACAAGGCAAAGAAATCACATAAAAACACAGATAAAACCACAGTGCCTTTCAAAGTGACATTTCAGATGTATTGTGTGGCATAATCTGTTTCTTGACACTTTTGCTGTGCCATCAAAATCCAACATTTTGGTGTTAAACATGACCACACTGGAGAACTGTCTGCACTCTTCAGACGACAACCGTTCAAGCTCCATCTAGAATACACAATATTTGCTGGTTTCGGTGTATCTGACTAACTACTAATGGAGGCCAGTTCTCAGCACATTTAACTTTGGTGATCTCCAGACACTTTCCAGCGGATGCTAGGGATCACCACAGAGTGAATAAAAGTTCATTTTTCCTTGTTATCATGCACAGGTCACTTCGAAATAGCCCATGAACCCCAGAGGCTGCTGTAGCTGGCTGGAAAGCAGCAGTGTAGCTTAAAAAAAGGCCAAGTGTAAAAGCAATGGCTTAATTTGTGCTCTGGCAAATCGCAGCATCCTTATCCTCAGGACAACTATCATGCCAACAGCAGCAACACAAGCTTACAAATAACGTCATTTTTCATTTCTGAAGATGTAAGGAGATAGCCCAGTTCATAGACAATCCTCAACCCAAGTCGCTGCGCTGAAGCTGCTCACCACTCCTTCACTTTTGCTATGATTCAATATGAATTCTTACTCCGGATGCAGAAGGCTTACTATTACTTTCAGACAGCATTCCCTCCCCTGTGAGTGCCAATGCCTATACTTAAATTAAATATAAAGGCATGTCTCTGCATGAAACTTGTTGCAGCTGTTGCATATCTGCATTAAGTGATCTTCAACAGTCATTGTGTGAGCAGCATGTCTGCACCACTTTGATTCTCTCTGACTACTCCAATTTTGCCTCGGATTGTTGTGGCCACATAGCACTGGGATGTTTTGAAATCAATAATCGGTGCTCTGGTCAAACTTCTTGCTCAACATTGCTCCATGTCTGTGCTGTCCGTGTTTGATGGGATATTTCATGCTGGGTATTATATGATACTTCCCAGAAGGCATCAGAGTTCTCAGACAAAATTATATAGTTTTCATAACTCCTTTTGTTCATCCCATCGCTCAGTTGTTTTCATATGGACCATTTTCTGACATTGTTGAAGAACAAGGATAATCCTTGTAATCATGAAATGCCACCATCCTAGAAAAGCACGCAAAGCTTACCGCACCAGTGGAGGGTTGCAATGTCTTTGTGCAGAGGAATATAGGGCTAGTGATACTTGCAAATACCCTGCTTCCACTTCTCTGAGAAAAAAAGCTAACTAACATGATAGTGAGAGTTCAGCTGTCGAGGAGAACCTTTTATCAGAGATAAACCTCAGAGGGAGATTTTCACAAGACGACACGCTGCTACAACACGGATAGGGGCTGGGACAATGAATATACTTTCTTAGGAGGTAGCAGATAGTACGATCCCATCTGATGTCCTCGTGCTGGAGTGCAAAATAGTGTGTGACAGACACAGAACCTTCAAAATTACACATTTACATGTGCAGGGGGCTCAGAGCTCTGTTCTGCCTTTCTAAGTACAGGTGGTGGTAGTTTGCCTGATCCTTCTGGAGTGAAACAGCAAAGGATTTCATTATTCTGGTTGTTTGGCAGTGGAGAAGTAGTCCATCTCTGCCACAGTTGCACTGACAAGCATATCCCCAAGAGAAGTATCCAGTGCAGAGGTAAAACTGACAGCAACGTGGGCTGTTCCTCCATCACACTGGCAGTTGCTCCTAAGGACGTGCCTACGTCCTTTCTGCTGTTCACCTTTTCCACTGTACTTCCAAAATCTGTACTGCAACTATCTAGCCTTGTTAGTGATACAAATTGTTTGAATACCTACCTCCTTTGAATTCGTTTTCTGGCGATATTATTTAGACTAGCGTTCAAGCCAACATTATCAACTACAGCTGAGTCAGAACACGATGGCAGCTGTCAGGGAAGAAACACGAGAGGATGACATCTCTTCACTCACTCAGCCAACAATGCTAAACTCACTGCCTTTTCTTAGGTTGGTTTGTTTGTTTGTTTTTTAAAGTAACTCAGTGCTGGAAACTCTCACAGAGTCAGCCTGGCTTCTCCTAGTAACAGCAAATTCTGCCAACTTCCCAAAGTTTGACCTGGAACTGCCCTGACTGAGCAGCACCTCTACCGGAGCGGTGACAGTGCCTCTCAAGCACCGCAGAGCAGGGGCAGGCGCACAGCTCCAGCGAACCAGCCAGAGCAAACACGGGAAGGGATCTCCCAGTGCTCCACATCTCCAAGAGATACACAAACTCCTACTTTACTGCTAAATCAGCACAGGTGAAGCCCATTTCCAAAGCAGACTGATAATACCTACGCAAATACGTTACAGTTCACATCAAGCGTTGCTTCCAGATGCAAACCTCTTTAGTTTGAGTGAACACAAAACAACCTACAACACCGGGAATGGAAGCTAATCACCACCGACTGCGAGAGGTATGGGCAGTCCCAGAAAAAATGCAATCTGCTTTCAGTGGCAACGTGACTTCCATCAGGACGGCACGCTGCTAGAGCACGCTGCCCTTCCAGGATTGTGCCGTGCCACCTCTTAGCAGAAGGCTGTTTGCTCAGACCTCTAATGCCAAGAGAAGATGGAAACAAAATTTACCAGACTGTACCATGACCAGTTGTATCACACGCGGTTAACACGAAGGAAGATGATAAAAGCAGAGCAAGTGCCTCCCTCATGCCAAACTGCCTGAAATGGTCTGAAACCATGCGCTGATGCCAACAGCTTTAATAGGATGTCAACTTGGCAAGCAAGCCAGATCATTGTGCCATCTTCTCAAAAAATCCTTCTCTGCCTTTGATATGTTAATCCTGCATAAGGCAAATTCTCCTATTAGAATATAGTCCATTCTGGTCTCCATGCAATCTGCATTATCCAGTTCAAAGTTAAATTAAAAATCCCAACCTGTGTGAATGTTGCAATCACATTATGAAATCTGTAAATCTATTTTTAATGTCTTAATGCTGCTCTAGTTGAACGAGGCAAATAGACTGCTGCATTGCATTTGCTTTACACTTTTTTAGATTCTCATGCACTAGTTAAATATTCACTCTGCAGTGTTTGCATTTCCAGTACTGCAAGACCCTAAAATAGAAGACAAGTTTTTCTTTCCCTCTTTTGTTTTTAAAATTCCAACTACAGGCAACTTGACTTGGGGATCTCTCCAAATCAAACGTGGAGTGCTAAACATTGCAAGGAGAGCTGCCGAAAATGTTTCAATGTAATACGGATGCCAGAAAATATGATTTAAATCCCAAACGTGCCACTATTTACAGTGTTTTTAGGGGCGACAGAACCAAATATTTTATTTAATTTCAAATTTAAGATATATTAAATGTTAATTCTGTGAGTAGCTTGTTTTTAAGAAAGAAAATATTTGAACGTAGCTGGAACAACTCAAGCAATGGGCCCAGCTCAACTATCCCAAATCAACATTTTACAGAACATTACTTTGGGGAGTAGTTTGCACTTTTTATTCTGATCTGGAATGGAAACAAGCTCTGAAGCACTGCAATTTTCTGTGGAACAAACCAGCTATTTTCTGACCAACTCTCTTTGGAAAAAATCAGTGTATTACAGTCAAATAAATCCTGCTGTTTTCACTTGAGTCATTGTTAGAAGACAAGCAGTGTCTCTCCACTGTCTTCTCCCTCTAGAAATGTTTTCCTGCTTTTCGCAGTCCATCTCTTTATCGCTACTAGTATTTCTCCACTCATAATTACGATGCATTCCCTGGTATTAAGTGCGTACAAACGACATGCGCATGAAAACAGCTGAAAAAGAAGGAAAGGACAATAGATTTATCCTGTGATGACAGATTCTTCAGGGCAGACACTACAGCAAACTTCACTATAGCTACCCAGATCCTTCTGCAGTCTGTGCAATGCTATAACGTCATCTACTTACTGTTACACGGAGTTACGGGACATCAGTGCGTATTTCTGTAGGTGACAGAAGGGGAAGCTTTAGCAATATTGTCCTTATCTATGGCCAGTTATTGAGCTTGGAAAATGGAGATGACCTACAGCACGGTTAGGGAGTTTCAGAGACTTTGGGCGGCAGAGAAAGCCGCCAAGAACGCTTAGAAGGGAAGAAGTTCGGCTTTGGATGCGCGAAGATGCCACCGCGGGCTCCGCTCCGCGCTGCCCGGCTGGGCGCGGCTGGGCGGGGCAGGGCGGGGCTG